AGTTGAAGGATATGCCTTCATGGAAAGGCATGGAAATGGAGGATTGGTTTTGTTATGACAGTATCAGAAGCAGGTTAATCCTTCTCCAGCAGACAGGATTTTATTGTGCACTGAGCTTATATTATGCTATTATTTCAGGGACACAGCTCATTCTTCAAAATTTATGTGCTGGAGGTTGTGTAACTTTACCAGCACAGGCATAAATAGGAGCACTCGTGAGTGTTAAGTCCAGCAGGTACTTACACACTTTCCTATACCGGCACTAGAATGCTTGGCCGTAATGACATGTTCTGCAACTAGGGTGGAGTAACCCGCACCAAACTGCTTCATGCATCATCCCCTTTTCCATTGTTTTATCTAGTGTCCATCACCACAGTACGTGATCAACCTTGCATTTGTGTCTCACATCACATGAGTTCCAATTGCTCCACTGTTCAGAAAAACTGGAACTTATATTACATATGTCCTTCAGTTTTCTCCAAGTGTTTTTTTCTTCATATCTTATGGGAGATAAGCATCTTTATATTTTTTAAATTCAGATTTCATTACATTTATGCCAAGTTAATACCTTACTCCCAAAATAAAGCATCATCACTGTAAGGTAGCTTTTATTCAACCTTCAAGAAGGTCAGACATTACTAAACATAACGTTAAATACTCTGTGCCTTGACACAGGACCACCACAGTAAGAGTGTACATGATTGGTCAGGGAACAGGCAAAGTGAGATGATGAAAAATACAGATTAAAAGTACAGATTAAGGATACAGGGCAAAATTAGTAAGATAGTAAACTGGCAATTTGATAAATATTAAGTAATTACCATTGAAGTCTTACGGAGACTGAGCCGGTCTGATCGAGCTCTGAAATATGCTTCATCAAAGGATGTATGACTCCCCTTCAGCTTCTCTGACAGGTTCCGATATAACCGCTTTGCAGCATTTGGAGAAGACGGCCCACTGTTCTTTTTAGTCTGGAGGAGACTTAAGTTATGCATTTGCTGTGTCATTTTCACCTAGTGTTTCTAGAAGAAAAACAACATGTCAGAGTAACAAAAGTCTGTTAAACAGCCAAGTGTGTCATTGAAACATGCATTGCACGACTGTTATGGCAAAACTCACTTTCACAAACAGGTTTTGTTCTGAATATTAAGAACACTTAAAAGCACATTCTGAAGCCTCCTCAATGGCAAATTGCTATTTATGGGATTAATCCATTGGTATCTATGGTCAGCGAAGATTAAGGATGGAAAAAATATGAGGGACCCCTTTAGAAATAATTGCCAATTGGTGTAAGGAGAAGGGGTTAGTGAGAGGGTTTAGTGAGAGAAACTTCTGACGGAGCAAGCTCTGGTAACATGGGTTTCAAAAAAAATCTTTGCAAATATTTCTATAAACTTTGGATAGCATGTATATAATTTGAATCTGAATTTTGCCAGACGCTGGTTTCTTAAAACAAAACTGAAGACACTCAGAGATGAGATACCTAACAGGGACTACAGAACATTGCATGACTGAATTCTTTGAAATGGTCAAGGGAGTTCAATTTGATACAAGCTCAAGCAGAGATAAGGCAGATGCTTTATTTCACACATTAGTATCTGCTAGCGAATTGCATGACCCCAAATCATGCAAATACATTTTCAGTCTCCTGGGTGGATTTACTTCCTCCAGAGACTCCAAAGCAGTATTTTTCACTCAGAAAGTATGGCTTGATTCAAAATATTTTTCCATCCATGAAAGCATCACAAACTACTGTGGAAATAATGCGTGAGCTTACATTTAAGTGAATATTCATTAAATGCTGACATGTTATCCTCCAACTGAAAGCCCTCTGTAGCAGAAGCTGAGATTTTTCTCAGAATTTTGAGTAGCATTTGGCAGGGGTTTGGGGGGTGGGGGCACTTGCTCTGCAACTAAGACTCCTAAAGCACGATGTTACAAACAAATAAAAAATGAAACACACAAAAAAGTCATTCAGGCTCTGTTGTAGGTAGAAGTGTTTGCAACATGAAGCTTAAGGGCACTTTTATTTTAAATTACTTATGGCCAACTAGTGCCTAGGTTACTGCAAACAAAAGCTTTACATTGCATGTTTTACAGTTAAAATAATCTGTGAATCTAAATGTTGCTGTTTACAGTTTTATACTGAGTGGTTTCTTCCTTCAGTTAGTGAAGAGGCACTGGTTTTATCTGTATATTATATAACTTTATCCTGCTCTGTGTTTACCATGTCCATTTAGACTATAAACTCTTCCAATGAGGAACTGCCTCCCGTCTTTAAGATTGCCTAGCCCACTAGGTTTCCATACTATCTCAGCATTAAGTAAATCATAATGCTCTCTATGCTCTATGGTTACAGCCATTTTTCAATACAGCCGTATTGAATTAACGTTTAGTTTTCTGGAAACACTTTTATGTGGAAATACTTTTACCTTTCTGAAGGGCAATCGAGAATCAGATTTGACCCAACTACAAACACAGGACGCTATCTTCACGGATCTCTGTAAGGGCAAAGAGGAGGAAAATGCACATTCTCTACATCATTCCCTGCCAAGAATGTGTATGCATTTAGAAGGGAACATCTATCTAGGAGATCTCACAGTTGCAATAGTTAACCTAGCTGCCTTTTAGGCTACCTCTTCCTGGAAATAATTTTTAGATTCTTTGTACTATGATACAAGTCCTGTAACTTTCTCGTTTTAGGGTCTCAGCCTGCATCTGAGCAAATCACATTGCAGGACTGGACTCTTGACAATTATTTACAATCATAAAAGCCCTCTTCACTAAACACTTGCCCTGATACTGAGACTGTTCTTCAACATTAATTGGTCCCTAAGATTAAAGACAATACCCAAGTCTCATAAGCCCTCTACATCTTCCTTTCTCATTCGTAAATGGTGGTGAAGCAGACATCCTGAGCACACAAGGATCTGATTACAAATAATCTCACACATACATTCCCTAAACTCATGAGGTATTGAAGAGAGGCCGAGTCTCTGAATGAAGCAGCAGAGTCAAGATAATTGCCATGTGTGACGAGAAGACTTTGTTAAATTAGCATGACAGTGTGTACAAACACAAGACTAGAATCCTGTGTGAGCTGCTTCCTCAAAGTAATGAGTAAGAGCGGTATGATAAGAAATAAGCTCTCTGGGACTTGGGGAGCTGCAGTACTATGGATGATTTTGGATTGCCTTTCTCTGAGCATATGGACAAAAGCTGAAGTGAGGCTCACACAAACAACTCAATTAATCCTGTTTTTTAATTATTACATGCATTTCAGCAGTGCCTACAAGCACTATCTGAAATCACTCTCTCTTCAAATGAAGCATTTGATTCTGTGCCCCAAAGAGCAAGCCTGCACAGTCTAGAGAGAAAGGCTTACAGGGGAACCCAAGGAACACAGGGAAAAATGTTTCAAGAGTCAACAGATACTGGCAGAGGCAGGAAAAGAACTGAAGCTTCACAGATGAGAAGGTGGTACTTAGTGTTAAACTGGAGCAAATACTAAAGCTATGATCCCCAATATTACCTCTCAAAGGTGACAGGAACACTGGAATTATTTGGAACCATGTGAAAGAATCAATATAGGTTAGGCAATGCTGTGTGGAAGTTGCTGTTCAGTGTTGAGTTTCAATACTGAACACACTATGAAGACAGCCTTTTGTTTTACTGGTGCATCCATGAGAGCAGTAGGGGATATACACATGAAATAAAATGTATTTTTTAAGATGGTCATAAGATTGCCTTCTCATCTGTCTCCATTTAGAGTGGCTTCAATTGTAAAAATTATTTTCAGATTTTTATTAAGAATAAGTTTAAGAAGTAGTGGATTAGCCCAAGGGATCTTTATCTTCCACTATATCATGCTGTTAGTTCTTTAATGGAACTCACCATTTCACCAAAAAACCTCAGTTACCTAGAGTAATGCTTCCACAGTGTTTACTATACAGAGCTGCAAATTATCACACAGAAGTTTCTCCTCCTACCTCAATTTTCACCTGGGTCAAACTACTAACATCAACGAAAAATCTCTTCCTTACATCTAAAAAGCCTGGGTCAAGAATCAGTCTCAAGTTGTGGACAAAAAGCAGGCCCGTTCAGTACCTCCGTGGGGCGCAATGCTATCTCCTGGAAAGGTACCAAGCTTCCTTAAGCTTGCATGCCAATATGGAGACTTACCGAGAAGCTGTGCAGACATTTAGTAAGGTCACATTAAATAAGTTAGGCATACCTACTTAGTAGGACTGCTCATACTTATGAAAATTGTTGTGATACTATTAAAACCAATCAAGAATATCTGTTATTAAAGCTAACATGGCTTAGGCCCTTATCAGTCCTCCCTAGGCTGTCACTTTTTGCTATACCAAACTACCTGCTTATTGACTATAAGTGACTAAGCTCTCTCTAGAGAGGACAGATGAAGAGGAGCAGATCTTGGATAGAGATTACTAGGGCTGATGTCAAGAGGCATTTACTCATATCTAAAGTCATGCTTATACAAAGCTATAGTGCCCAAACGACCAAAGTTCACTGAATTAGTATTGTGGCAATACTCTTAGGGATTAAAATAATAATTAAAAAAGGAATTTTGCCAGCCTGACACCTACAAAAAAAAGAATCTCTTCTCCATCCTTCACTATTGCAGGAAGCATATTCATATCCTTCTCCTCAAACACAGTTGACCAAAAGTCTTCCATGGAGTCTGTGGAAATGTCTGGAAAGTCAATTTTGAACTATTGTGGAGTGGGTAGAGAAGTGGTTTTCAAGAATAATTAATTTTACTTATTTATTTTTACTGAGAATACCTTTAAGCAACATTTTCTTTCATAAGGGGAATTTAACCTGAGCAAGTAAACAAGAAGCACCTCTCAGTCTTTGAACAGTCTTCCCAGAAATCTGAGCGTTTGGTAGAGGCATTAGTTCTAGTTACACATCTCCCAGCATACATTCAAATTTCAGACAGTTTGCAGGTTGATTCTCTCTATTTCAGTTATGTACATTGTAAACAGAAGAAAGGCCCTCATTACTTCAGGAGCTTGATGTAGCTTCAGAACCAAAGCAAATTCAGGTATCATTTGGCTGCTGGCCTATGTCTCCAAATCAGAAAAGCCAAGCAGCAACTTGATAACAAATCTGTTCAGGCCCATTCCCCACAGCATAGGTTACTGTTCCCATTCACTGTATCCAACCCTTAGTTTGACTCCCTAGGGGATCCTGGAGTCTTTACCATTCTCATCAGGTCAAGGAAAAAGGACTTAGATATCCAAAGGAGAAGAAGCAGTGTGTTACTAACCATCTAAACAATTTCCAAGGACTGTAACAACAGATCGTCCATATTATCCATGGAAGCTTTCTGAGTATATAGCCAAAGCAAATCTCTAAGACCAATACGAATGTGAAAAGAGCACAGAATCTTATATAATCACATGAAAGCTACTCTCCAGTCAAGAGCAGGCAAGTCTATAGTACTTATGTAGCTTTTGTATAAAAATTGCAACTATTCAGTGATAAAACAGATGGCATCTTTGCTATCCACACAGAATCAGTGCATTACAAATGAGTTGAAAAACATCAGGTACATTTTATCCTATATGCTAACCATCAGAATCATGGAATAGTGCATGGAGTAAACACAGAACAGCAAAGCAACAGCTGGAATGATAGAATGAAAATGAACTGTATTTTCCATCATTGCACTGAAACAAGATGCAAAGCACTGCTGAAGATTATTGTACTACAGATATTTTCTAGTCACATACAAGCTATGAAATGAAAAAAGGAAAGGTAAATGTAAGCTACGTATTCTGGAAAACTTTCTGGAAATGTGATCTCTCTTATCAAGCTGTAGAAATGACTCCCAAGAGGAGCAATGGAAATGAGACCAGGTAAAATCATGAGTGAAATGTATAGTAAGGAAAACAAAGACAGGACAACTCACATAATACATAATTCTGTGATCCAAAACTTATTGCTTTTTATTGGATGCTGGCATTTCCTTATTTTTACAGATCCAAACCATTTATATGAACAGGTTTAGACTCCTTTAAGTCCCCTTCCTCCCCCCACCCCCACCCCATGTTCTCACTTCAACAGTCAGGTGAAACAGAAAAATATGCATTGTCTTGAGTGAAATAGCAAATCCTGCAGCTACCATAGGCAAGCCTGAAATACGCTAACCTCAGGACATGCCATTGCTGCTATTTAAATTGATACAATGTATTAAAGACTAACAGTTTAGGTACAGGTGATGTGCACAATCAACCCTACTGAGATTTTCACCTTGGAAACCTCTGTATGTATCTGGCATAGGTCAACATGAAATCAGTAAGAAGATCTCAATATGGTTCAGAGTAGTTCTGCATGGTACAACTAACTAGCGTTCTCATAGCAGGTCAAGTACTGCAATAACAAATATTTTACAAGGTTTGTCAATAAAGGGCAGAACTGCATAGAGTAACAACAGGGGCTTCCCTTGTAACATTAACAGTTAACAGTAGCTTGCTTTTCTAAGAATTAAAAAAGAAGGGCTTCTGGCAGTGGCTCCAATAACAAGAAACCTGAATCTCTGGGGAAACAGTCACTGCACTACACTGGAAATAACCACCTAAACATAGTCTCATTCTTGTCATTATCACCCTGCTATACTATGTACCAAACCAGTGATAGAAGACTTCTAACACACGTTTCATGCTGCACTCAGTGTAGCTTATCTTTGTGATCAGATTTCTTTTTGCACTTCTAAGCACTAAAGTAACCTTTTTATTCCCCAACAGCAGTGTGCTTTAAAAGTCAATTTCAAATACAAATACAAATAAGTTACCCCTTTAAAAGCATTTTTTGGATTGGTAAATATTGATCTATTATTCATGCACAGCTTTTAAATCATATTGCAGAGAGAGGAAAATTCTAAATTATAGATCAGTATCTGTTTTGTGTAGCACATACATGCTATACTGTACAGACAGGTATACCAAAAGGACACAGCATAGCTGTGTTAACTTCGGATTTTAGAAAATGCACATAACAGCCACAAAAACACTCACACTATACATGGACTTAAATATGCACATTAAAACAATTTTATACCTGAACTAATAATTAAACAATATATGTTTTAAAAATTAAAGTTGACTTACCAGCTCAGGCTATCCGAGGCAAAATGTGAACAAGTTGGTGGCAATTGTCCACTGTCTTCATTCAATGAATCACATTGGCTTTGCTGTCTCTTCGGGCTCAGCCTCTGGGCAGAATGAGTAAACCTCTTCCTTATACTGCATGAATGATTAGAAATGAAAAAGCTTATTACTAGCAATTACTGAAGTCCGAGATTACTGATTAGATCTGAGAGCAAACTAATTTTTGAAGCAAATAATGCCATATCACAGGGAAAAAATTTGATGCCTTAATTCTACTAGTTATCACTACAGCGGTAAGAATGTCTAGTATCGAAACCTCTTGCCTCTGTAGTCAAAGATACCATGACTTCTGCATGCTTTTAGCTTGTTTTATCCCTTAAAACTGATCAGCAGCTCAGCGTGCAAGTAGAACAAATAATTGCTGCCGGAGTAAACAAAATTGCAATTGCAATTAATTTGTCATGAAGTATGAGCAAAAAGACATTAATGCAGTCATCTTAAAGCAGTTAGTTTTATGTTAAACCAATAAAAGGAAAAAAAAATCACAATCCTGCACTCTGCCCAGTAATGCATGTTGCATGTGATGTATTGTTTCTTCTTTCTTCAAGCAAGCTATACTACAGCTGTCTGCAATCATAGCAACAAAAGCAGCAACCATATCCATAGCTATGGGACATTTGCATGATCATTTGAAAGCTCCCAGCCTGAACAGGTTACCTCTAAAAAGGTTATTAAATAAGTAAGAAAAATATACTTTACTGATGTCTACATTTCAGCTAAAATGGATCCTATAGCATTAATACCTTTCAAAATATTAGAATAGTGATGTTTCAAAATAAAAATTGCTTACAATAGGCAGAAAATGAAAACTCTGGATCCCAAAGAAACCTATAAAGATGTTACAGAGTCAGAATACGGAATAACCATGCACAGCCTTAGAATTCTAAAAAGAGTATAGGTGATGAACAAAGATAAGCAACAATTTAGAGGAGCGCTAGCCTTCCTAGACAGTCTACTGAGTTAAATTCACGTAACTGGAATACTCCTGCTTAATGCGTGGTAACAGAAAAAAAAAAACGGAGACATATTCTTTCCTGGGTCTGCTAAAGCCAACGATTTTTAATACCTACAGTAAATGTATTTTTTGTTGTTTTTAAATGAGATACCAAAGCTAGTGTTATGATCTGCAAAAATTTCACTGGCTGTATTCAGATATGATACTTGATTATGGAAAATATTGGAAACCTCCCAAAAGCTGGTGACCAGTCTGATTCTCCCACCCTTCAAAACTTAAGATAAGGGTACTCAACTTCATACCAAATAGCATCCTTTTGCCAGAGTTTGGCTGCTGAAACCAAAATCTGGTCCTGGGCCTGACATTTGTATGTGTCATAGGACTTGAATTTATTCTATACAATTTTTATCAATCTGGATATGGACCAAACCATTTTTAAGAGATAACAGGTGCGTGTGTGTGTGTGTGTGTGTGTGTATAGAGAGGGAGAGGGAGACTAGACTTACTAAGTGCTATGACAATACACTATGCCAAATATTTCTTCTCCTACATTGTCACAATTACAGGTTAAATCTGTATAAGATTCCCTCCTTTGTCCTGCTGCTTCTGAGGATCGTTAGTCAGCAGGCTGCAGGACAGCTGACTGAAGGCCCTGCTCCTTGGCAACAGGAGGAAGATTGGAAATCTTTTCAAAACAGCTGAATATCTCTTTAATACTGGATAGTATCTGGAAAAATAACATATTGAAAACCTGAAATGTCTAAGCACTAAGTAAAATAGGTTAAAATTAAATGCAAACTTTAAAATTCCATTTTCAGTGCTGTCCCAAATAGGGATGCTTTCTTCCAAGTTTTTTGGTATCTACAGACTCCTTGGGGAATTCACTTGTGAGGGAGTTCCTTCTTTCTAGCTGCTTCCAGGAGAAAATGCTAAAGTGAATTTATTATAACTAGCTTATTCTTAAACATTTTCTAGCAATTTCTCATGGTGCATCAATGTTCCTCTTCTCTCTCCTCTGCTTTCTCCCCTCAGCTTAGTGAAAAGCAGTTATTTAGTTTTTAGTTGCCATTTCCATTTCTAGGATGCTTAGCACTTCTCCATTGCTACCCAAATATCATTGGGTAGAAGAGTAAAACGCAAGATGATTTGTCGCCCAAGCCAGTTCTTTGACAGATAATGAGTGAATATATTGCTAATTCCTCCTGTCATGTGGATTTAAGTTTAACAATAAACTGCTCAAAATCCGAAAACATAAAGTAACACTAAGATAAGAGAGATAATCATAAATTTACCAAAATATAAAAAACATAAAATTAGTATAAATCATGACTGAATGTGTGTAAATAAGTGCAAGATACACCTATATCTAGTTCTGGAAACGGAGAAAATGAAAGCTCTACAGAAAACAAAAATATAGATTTATGATAAAACACATGTAAGCAGACCTGTTAGTCTCATCTTGGACAGGAACCTGTATGTTCTTAGGCCTTGATGATTCCATTAGATGACTCATAGATATCAGCTGTTTATTCTTTCATTTGCCAATATAGTTCATACTCAATAGTTGAGCCACAGATTTCTTTTGCTCTATATTTTACTACCTAATTAGTTAAACAACCTACTGCAACAGAGAGACTTTCATTCCATGTTTGATCACGCTACACGTTTACCTACAGGCAACATACATCATGAGCTGATTCCAGAAGCTACTACTATTATTGCTAAAGCTGCATATTTGTATGAAGATGTGAGTTTAGCAATACATTTCATTTAAAGAGGCCACCCAAATTAGCTGCTCAACTGACACATTTAACAAAATATTTATCCTGTAGTAATCTCAGTTTTATACACAATATTTTCAGCAGCCAAGCAGCACATTTTGTTGGCCACCAATTCAATTTATCAAACCCTGTTTGTTTCTTCTAGCCACAGGTAACATTTCTGCAGTAAGCGAAGGAATTGTCATGCTGAGGATGACACGTTCAGTGTAAAATCCCAAGGCAGCTGGGAGACATTTATTTTTATTTCATCAATCAATAGGTGGCAGTATTCACCCAGTTCTTCAAACGCATGATGTGGTGCATGGAACAGCAGCCACACACATGTATTACGTTGTCCCAACTCCACAACATCCAGCACTTAATTGCGCATGATATTTCAGTAGCAAGCACTTCCTCAGTAAACTGAAACTAACGTTCCTCTGTTTTTTAATCACCTTGTGTTCTGGCTCTATGTAGATACTGAATTTGTGAAACACGCTCAGTAGAGCAGTAGAGTTTAGAAACGGGTGCGTAGTTTGGGGCTAAGAAATACACTCAAACATAAGGAATTTTAAAGCTTCACATGGCTTGCTTCACATTTAAAGCTTGACTTTACTTCTTAATCAATCAATGGCAAAGCTGTCATTATGATTAGAGGGAGAGCTGTATTCTAGGCTGCTTAGAATCCATCGTGAAGAGCACTCCTCAGGCGTCATGTCTTGACATCCTGCGCACCTTTGTAGCTGGGATCAGGCAGTGTCGCAGGCAGATTAGATACCTGGAAGAGGGACCCAACCTTCCTCTCAAAGTAGCATAGTCAGTCCAACTCCATCTGGCATCTGTATGCTGTCTAATTTTGGAACTCTATGACTAGAAAGGCGGTCAAAGTGACTCAGCTCCTTGAAACAAGATGCTGGATTTTGTTCTTCTGGGGTTTTGGGTTTAGACTCAAAGGCATACAGTGGGAAGAGGGAAAAAATGGCCTACAAACACGCCTTTCTTAAAAGCTGTTACACATACAAGCTATCACAGTAAATTGCAACTCTGGTTTTGGCAATTTCTGCCTCTCTCGCTCCTTGTTTACCTATCATCTTCAACTGTGTGTCTCAGTTCCTTGCGTTTCCTCAAGGACATTGATACGATTCTTACTGTTTTACCAGTTCCTTTAACCAGCATTCTTGATCCAAATCCACAGCAAAAAACCTATTATCTACAGAGACACAAAAATATTCAATACATTCATTAAAAAAGACACATTTCCCAGCTCACCTGTCACAGAAGTGATCAAACTCGAGAAATTCTGAAATTCTCTGAATGAAGAAAGTATAATTGTGTTGGGACAAAGTTTAGAAAATTTCCCAAAGAAATAATTTTCCCAAATGTTTTGAAATGTTTGAGACATCTGTGATCTAAGTGATTAGATTAAACTCAGCCTGACAGCCCAAGCTCTAAGCTTCCTGACTTAGCCATGATTCCTAATCTAAAATCCTCCCAGCTCAATTGGATTTCAACGGTATCCAAGCACTGCTGCAGAGCTGACACTAGCAGATACGCTCACATCCGAGGCTTGCAGACTCCCAGTACCGCAGGGAGTAATGCAGAGGCCAGGAGTTCTCCAACTCTGGGGCAGTCTATATGGCAGCGGTGCCTTGGAGCCAGGGATCCTGGTTACTTATACTTCAGAGTACCCTTTTAGATGAACTAGCAGGAAACCATTAAAAGATGGTATGTTTCTGTACAGTTTGTTAGAAAAAGAAGATGCCGCTTTGTCAGTTTCTTCAATTGTAAAATTCCTGACAAATTCTAATTTCTGGCTCCACTGGAATGGAGTTTTTGAGCCACAAAACACTAAGTCATTTTGGATCATTTGGATTATAAGCTAAGGTCAATAACGATACCTTAGCATAAAGGGTTCATCAGATCTTTAACGACATCACCATTTGAAACCAGGAATCAAAAAGCAGCTGCTTTTGAGCAGAGCTTCTCAAAGATGGCCTGATGGAGATGCTACCCTATTACAAAAACAGCAAAGACCTGAATGCTGTTTGCTAATGGTTACTGCAATTGTTCTCCATATAAGGAAAAAATTAAACGTGAAGGAATACATCCATCTTCAGAAAGTTTATAAAATTTTTTGCAGACATTTAGACAAATCTGAAGATATTGTGGTTCCTCAGAAATAAATTACTCAGCTGATTATCACAGAAATAATGAAATTGTCAGCAACAACAGCACAACCGTGATGTTTTCTCAGTCTTATGTTGATTATGCTATCTAGACAGACACTCCGTCCAGAGATAATTCATGCAGTGTATTGTTTGGCTGTAACTACTCCCAGCTGCACTGCAACAGCATCTAATCCAAGTTAGAGAAGAACGTTCTACAAACAGAAATTAACAAGCTTTTCATAGCAGGCAATTTCCAGATTAGGAAAGAATAAAGGAAAAGACAGCTTTTACGAAAACTGACCATAGAAAAAAGCTGAATAGAGGCAGAGCCACATGTCTCTAGAGAAAGTTTTTTTGGTTCTGTTTTTTGTTTTCTGAAATCTGAATGATTTGAGGTATAAACTGATGCTGTCCTCCAAGATCAGAATAATTTTAGGATTGTGAAATAGTCACTAAAAAGACCAAAAGGTACTTAAATGTATGTAGACAGGTGTCATGGTAACCTACGTATGATTACCATAATTAGCAACGTAATTACTAATATAAGGCCTCCTTCTGAAAGTCAACCTATTTTTTCTTCAAGATTTGATGTACAAAAGCATCATTATAAAGCACTGAACAAGCGTCATTGTTTTTCACAATGAGCAAAGAAATAACTTTGATAACAAAAGAACAACGTACTATTCTCTAAACTCCAAACAACGTTTATTACACTAAGCAGATATTTCAGAAAGAGCAGCTTGATTGTGCTGATAAAAAGCTCAAATCTGTTTAAGGGTAATGATCTCTCTCTAACAAATTTTACAATGATAAAATCAGGCATTTCAATAAACAGCAATGAAGCGCCAGAACCATTTTAGAAAAAATGTGATACTGAGGACAAGTAATAGGAGGAGGGGAATTATTTACAAAGACTAACGTTAACCTGGGGAGAATAATCTCCCCAGATCCTGATAGAGGCAGTCTATTCTAGACAACACGTATTCAAAACGGGAGCCTATTTCTCTGCATTATCACAGAAAGAACAGCAAGGAGATCTGTCTCACTGGACCAGCTTTTTTGAATAGCCCCATGGGTCATTTTTATAATAAAGAAATATAACACTTGCAGGCTATGCTAGTTTTGCACAGACTGGAATTCATACTGCAATCACTTGCTCTGATGTGACTGTTCATCTACCAGTTAGAATGAAAACTCTGAGGAGTTCCAAACCACCCTCTCATAGGAGCAACACAAAAACCTAAAGAGAACAGAAATGATTGCTGTGAAGTAACTCCAGGCTTTCCAGTGCAATTCTATTTCACGATGCGTTAAAGAGCCCATTCTAACATTCACTTTGCTGAGCAAAGTGATTATTTAGCTTTCAATTATGATAGCTTTCAAAACACAAAGATCCTAGGTTACTATAGAGGCAATGTACATAAGAAGGGAGAGTTTTTGTTAAAGATTTTTTTTATAATTCGCAAAGACAAAGACATGATTATGTCCCTTTTACAAGGGGGTATAAGGTACAGGAAAAACAGTGGCAAAACTGAAAGTATATGATCATTCTTTCCTGAAGTCCAACACTTCAGTAAAAGGAAAATTAAAAGGCAGGAAATGCAACCAAATCTTTCCTGTGCAGAATTTAGATCTGTAACGTATTATGCCAAAAATCATTACTTTTTATTGCAGTAGAGGCTTTAAAAATATGTAGCAGTTAAAACAGCAGTTCACGAAAAGATCCTCTCATCACTTTCCTTAAGCCCTAAAACTGATGAATCTATTTCCTTTCAATTAGTTACGTCAGCCACTCAGTAAGAATCAACATTATTACCAGCACTCACTTTGTTGCCACACGAATCACAACTCTACCACCACAAACCAGAACAGAACAGAAAGCGATCATTGCTCTTTAATGAGCACATATATATATATTTGGATAGATCTGGTTCATAGCTTCTCCTTCCACTCCCGCATCTTCATCGTGTCCTAACTAATGCATCAATCAACACCAAATGTGAGAAATGAATCTGAAATAAATTCCTACTTCTCACCTTTCATGGCAGGTTGCAGCAAGTCAACACTCTGTTTTATAGCCGGTCAAAGAGAATTTGACTCAGACCACGAGGGTCTCGGTTTTATCTCCTGCATTCAAATCCCAATCTAGTAAGGTACATATATCGACCTGTAAGCAAGTTAACATTTCTTCCAGAACCAAAAAACAAATGGTAACCTCCTCACAGGCCAAATCTTGATATGTTAGCAAAAGTTTCCGCCAAAATTCCATCTTGCACCTGGGATTTACTCATGTGCACTCATCCTTAAATCAGAAAGGACAATGCTGGTTAATCCGGGGGGAAGAACAGGGAGAACATGGTTGCAACAGACAGCATCACTCTGACAAGTGCAGGGATCCACTGTAGATAGGACAATAGGCATGGCCTGCCGTGAAGTCACACCCTGAGCTGGTTCAGTCTCTAGCTGGACTGAGGTTCCAAGTACCTTTTGTTCTTCAAGTCAAGAAGACAAATGTCTTCAAGACATTTGTTGGTCCCAGAGTACCTAGGCTTTGGCTGGGACAGCCTTTACGGCACCAAGCTCACTTACACTATAAAGTTACAGCATCAAGAATATTGTTTTCTACGTATCCACTTACGTTTCAGTTACATGCAGCAAATTAAAAAGAACTTTAAGAATTAGCTTCAAAAGTGTAAAAAAAATTAATAAGCTATTATAAATAACTACCAACTAAAATTTAAGAAATGAAGTACTTCGAAAGGGTCTGAACTTCACTTCAGTTGTGGTTGCCCTAATAGACAGATGGGCAGAATAATTTGCTGTTGTGTTAAAAGACTGAATATTGATTTGAAAACAAGGACTTGTAGTTCAGTGAAACAAACATTCACTGCAGCTTCAAGTGCTAATCTGACTTCATCTGAATTGAGTTAATAAATGTTTGTAAAAGCAGGCAGCTTAGGTGGCTTAATTAAGAAAAGGCTTGCTTTTCACCTTTAGGAATTCATTTCCTCCAGGGTCAGAGTTTGGTGGTCTTACAGCTATCGCACAAACTTCTACACAATTTGGAATGATTAATGACCTCTGTTCAGAAAAATTATGAGGTGCTATAAAGGAAAAATTAACTGAATTCACACAATACAAAAACTCTCACTAAAGTACCTTTTCCCTATATTATTTTTTTATAAAACCAGTGCCATGTTCTATGTACATGTATTTCACAGAAAACATGAGTAACCTACAAACCTGCACAGAACTAGTGTCTTACATGATAACATAGGTAGTGTCTTCTGCAGGTGCACACCTGAGTGAAATTGAACTCTTGTGGATATTAAACACTACACAAGAGAATCACCCTTTCAAACACCCCTGACTAGTATGACATGTGAGTCCTCGGACACACAAAATACCCAAAGATTTTAATTCATGTGCTCTTCTGCCCTTTAAGATTTTTAAAAATCTGTAGTTTTACCACAGTAATGAATAGATTTCAAATTGTTGTGATTTTTTTTTGTTGTTAAATAAAATACTTTAGATCAAATGCTGCAGTGTTTCACTCACTGCAGATCTTCTGAATGACCGCAACTGAGAATATAATTTGTTTCTTTGCAGATACCATTTTGGGCCAACTCTAACCTCTGGACCCCAGCTTTCCAACCACATTTCCAAATAAGTACTGATACAACAGGATCCATACAGCATAAGGTGTTGCTGCTCACCTAGCATTAAAGTCATGTATTTGCTCTGAGAAATTTGTGTTAAGATGAGGTTTTGTCTTTGCACTAAAAGATTCAAGCAATATCAGGAAATACACATATCTGGTCTGGAAAATGAGTACTTATTTTTTCTATCCTTCAGTGATAATATGTTTATCTCCTTCTAAAAATCACGTATTACCCAGCTATTAACCAAAAACACTTCTAAAATGATGACTGCCTGCTAATTTAAAAGTTAATAGCAACAGTTTTT